TCCCAATATCCTCATCTCCTAGAAGTTATTCTACTTGCTTAGCATATATCTCTGAAACATCCAAAAATTAAACACCATTGATATGTCACTAGCTATCACATTACTCTCTATTCCCTAAGAAGAAACCACCAACAATACTTGACTGTCTTCTCTCAAAGACGCCTCAATCGTCCAACAGACCAAAACCTTGGATTCACATCATCCCTTAGACAGAAAAGTCAGGATCGACTCAACAATATAATTCCAAAGCACATGGATCCACTCCAAATCATTCACCCTTAAATACCACCTCACGTTAATCCAACATCTCGCTCTAACGAAAAATCACAATCATCCTTGGGAAAGCATCGGGACCATTGGAACATCATTAGCCATAACATTTCCCTCTACCACTAGAGATACGAACAATACAAGTACCTAATCACTCCCTCCAAAGGACACTACACCTGACCGTTATGCAGAATATCGAATCCCCATTCTCTTCAGAATCGGAAGACCACATAGTCCTACCAACACTTGCACTTTTGCAATCTATGGCCCACTGAACTAATTGTTCACCTCTTGCAACCAAAACGTCTCTGAGAAGCAACAACTTCTCCTCCACTAGTTTCAATCCCTCTCATGCAAACAAGTGACTCAGTAAAACAAGAAGGTACTGAAAGTGTTTCAAACACATGTTGCACTAAGGAACAACACGTCGACAATATTCAACTGTCACACTCTACATACTTAACAACCTGGCCGGATAGACCGACCTGCTCTGATACCAATTGTAACACCCCGCTTTCCATAATAATAATTATAGCATAACCTACGAAATACATATATCAGAGTACACAAGTAGGATGTCACGTCTTTAAAAATTCATAAAGTCTCAAGTCACTTTATTACTCCATTTATTCAAAATAATCGATTCGGCAGCGGAATAATCAAATATTCATTTTCATAGCACTACGGCTTAAATAACATCATTCTCCACAAAACTCATGGTTAAACATAAATATAAAGGTAAGATACGTAACGAATAAAATAACATGAAACATAGAAAATTCCCAAATCCTGTGTTACGTATCAGAGCGACTCCTAAGACTCGATTAGGAAAGTCATACTCCAAGCACTACTCAGGTACCTGATTATCTGTACTCCCAGAGGAGCATAGACACAACAACAGAAAATGGGTGAGAATTATATTCAATAAATATACTGTGAAATATCACATGCTAAGGAGTAGTAATTCACACAAATCACATAATTCACAAAATACGCATTTCACAAAATACTTTGCAACATATTCTTCACTCATCTAACACAACATCAAATCAAGATGGTGCAATGCAACGCATCTGATAACAACTAAATGCATATGGTACCAACAGAGCATAAGCCCTCATCATAATTCCAAATAAGGCTACAACAAGGCATAGGCCCTCAATATAATAAAAGGGCATAAGCCCTCACCAATGTATGCATGCAACACCAAAATGGAATAACGCGAATATACAACCACAGGGCATAAGAACACAACATCTTGCTAATAAAGGCCACCAACAGAGCATAAACCCTCACCATACATGCAACAGTAGCAATAGAAAATAGTAACAACATTCTTGCATACACCCAAAAATACAACATTATCGCATCATACTTCATCAAATATTAAACAACATTTCAACACAGTAGTGTCTTAGTATCACAATCCCCTATGCTATTGTCAATCCATCATGAACATTCAACAACAACAACAACATTACACAACATAACATCATAGTATCATAACATAGTGTCATAGCATCACAACAACTAAACATGTCCTCAATTTATCATGTAAATTCAACAACAATAACAATTACAATAACATAACATCATGGAATCACAATTACTCAACATATTAACAATTCATCATCTATATTCAATAACAACAACAACATAATATCACTTTACCCAAAAACAAAATTCTTCATCAGAAATCATAATCAATTCACCCAAAGTCCCATGTTTTTCTACAAATCTCCATTCCTATTAGCCTTCCTACATCTTCCTACTTCATACTAGTCATTACAGACCCAAAAAGTTACACTGCACGCGAGAACGGGAGTTTCTGCACTTCAACCTGCCCATACGCGTACCATACATGTTTGGCTCTCTTCACACCCATCTCATATACATACCATACACGATCTGCTCCAGTGCCCAACCTCATACACGTACCATACAAGTACGACCAGAGGGAAATTTTCCCCCAAAACTCCTCCCATATCTCCATACGCGTATTGGCTAGTCCATACACGTATGGCCTTCTACTCACATGTGTACCATACACGTTCAGGCAGTTGGTCATGTTGGCTCGGGGACAAGGCGCGTACCATACGCGTATGGCCCCTAGGAACGTCTCCCATACACGTATGGCCAATCTGTTATTCCAAACTTTTCTACATTAGCACCCGTTCGCTTTCTACCCATTTTGAGCACTTTCAACCTCCAATTTTGGGTCCAAAAATGTGTTTCTACACATAATAATTCATAGAATTCATCTAATTTTTTCATTCTACAGTTCTACAACAATTTCTACCTCTAATTATCCAAATTTCGTCATATTCCTAGATCAACAATTTTCCAGGTTTGAGATTTCATGGGCAACACAACAACAGTAAAATCAGCAACAACAACACATTCATGGCATCATGGGATTCATGAATTTCACATACAATCACATAGAAACAACAAAAAATCAAATAAAGAAGAACATTCATCAATTGTTCATGAAACCTAAAGAGGGAAAGGAACCCTCACTACCCTCTCATGCTATAATCACCATTTAGAGAATCCATTATTTAACCTTATCTTGGTTTGGAGCTTTGATCCTTCAACAATGATGAGATTCTCCTTGTCACCCTTTTCCCTAGCTTCTCTTCTCTTCTTTTCACGTGACAACAGTTTCTCCCAATTCTCTTTCTACCACTTCCCTCAAAATATATATTATTATCATCTAATAATAACCAATAATAAAAAAGGGAATAATAATAATAATATTAATAATAATAATCACCATAATATTAATAATAATATTATAAGTGGTAACTATACCATATATCTAATAATATTATTATTATTATTAATAATAGTAATATTTCGTCATTCACCAATATTATCTTTATGATATTATTATTCAAAACTTACTCCAATTATCGAATTATACTAAGTTCTCACACCTCCTTAGTCAAACCAACATATTTCCATAATTCCAATCATCAAATGACTAAATATTTAAATGGGGCGTTACAACTTTCTAGGATTTCAAATTAAGCAACTCGAGGAAGGAACATTTGTATGTCAAACCAAGTATTGTCTTGAATTACTGAAATAATTCGGAATGGACGGTGAAAGGAAATTAACACAATTATGGCAACAAATGGAAATTTGAATAGAGATGAAAAGGGTAAGGATGTTAAGGTCAAGTAATATAGAGGCATGATCGGATCTCTTCTATGTCTTACATCATCTAGGCCTTATATCATGTTTAGCATTTGTATGTGTTCATGATATCAATCAGCTCCTAAGGAATCGCACTTAAAGGCGGTTAAGCGTATTCTTATATACCTTGTTGGTACCTCTAAGTTTGGGCTTTGGTATTCCAAGGGAATTGATTGTAGCTTGGTTGGCTACTCCGATTCTGATTTTTTCGGTTGCAAGCCGGATAGGAAAAGAACTAGTGGAACTTGTCACATGTTTTCAAAATCCTTGGTTAGTTGGCATAGTAATAAGCAAGTTTATGTAGCTTTGTCAATAGTCAAGGATGAATATGTGATCGACGATACTTTTTGTGCCCAAATCTTATGGCTTAAACAATAATTACTTGATTTTGACATCAAACTTTCACGTAATCCTATCATGTGCGACAACACTAGTGCCATTAATCTAACCAAGAATTTGGTGCTACATTCTCGCACTAAACATATTAAGATATGTCACCACCTCCTTCATGATCATGTTGAAAAAGGGGATGTTGTATTTGAGTGTTGCACCCTAAATTTTGCCCATAAAATTTTTAGTCGCATTATCATATCATATTTTTTTATTTAATCACAATCTTTAATAAACATTTTCATTCATCTCATTTGCATCATTTAGTCGTATTTAAGTTAATCAAAGTCACTTTTAATCGATATTTGCATCGTTTTATAGTTGAAAAATACTTGTTATTTCATTTCAGAAATTTTTATCTCATTAGCCGCTTTTTGTATCGCATTAAGTTGTTTATATGTCGATAATATTGATATTTCGGTATTACAGACAAGCCGTTAAAAGTGATTCGAGACTGTGCAGAAAATTAGCGAGAAAATATTTCAAGTTTTCACCTTTATTTGATTGTTTTATGAATATGTGTTATGCATTAGATCATGCTGGTATTCTCACTTTATTTTTTCGGTACAATTTGCAGTCTCTTTTTTAATTGTCAGTGTTTGTTCAGCCTGATATCTTTTTCTCATTTTTATTTTGATTTTGACCATTCGAGTTCTTTTTTATTAACCTTTGAGATTTGTAGTTTATTTTAATGTGTTCGTATCTTTTTTTTATTAATTAAGTGTCCTTTTTTTAATCAATTTTGACAATTTTAGGTGTCTCTTTTTTATTCTGAAAAATTAAATAAAAATATTTTTGAGTGTGTTACTTTTTATTCTTTTTAATTTTTTAGTTGATCTTATACGAAAGGGATTTTTAGGCATTTGAATAAATTGAAGGCCTAATTAATTTGTTATAAAGATAGAGTTTGTAGAGGAGATTGGGGGATTGATATCAAAACAAAAAAAAAAAAAGGCACGAAACCCATTTTCACATAAACCTCTCTGTTTCAATCTCATCTCTTTCCTCTCCAATTTTCCGTTCTAACTCCTTCACGATAGTACCCATCCTCTCTGCTTGCTACCGGTCTCAACCGAGTTCCGCGACAACAATGCAGACCACCCACCTTTGAGCACCACAACTGCCGTAACAACTCCTCCATGAACAACAACATAACTCGCTACCCACATCATTTTTCGTAAGCTCCCATTTCACCCTCATTTTCAAGTGACATAATTTCTGAAATGTGTTTGAATTTGTTTAACTAAGTTTTGGTTGTTGATGAATTGGTGTTGATGTTATGCTTAGTTCAAATTGAGTTATGGATTGGTGTTATAACTTTTGAGTTGTGTTACGAATGTTGAATTAATTATTAAAACTGTTGATTATTATGGTAAATTGGTGTTGATTATGTTGTCAAATTATGTTGAAGTGTTGATGTTGTATTGAGTTTAAGATGAATTTTGATGTTAAAGTTTTGATGTCGATACATGTTATATGTGTTATCCATGGTAAACTTGAGTGTGGTTTTTGATGTCAATGTCGCGTTTATTTGTGTTGATCTTGAATGATGAGCGTTACTAGCATTACTTGTTTTCGGTGTTAATTTGAATATAGAAGTTATTTTGTTGGCATTACATCTTGGTATTGACATGGAATAATGAAGTTTGTTGATGTTATGCCTTTGTTTGTGGTAAATCCGCAAAATTCTCGATTTTGAATATGTGATAACAATACTATTCATGATTTTGATGCGAGTGAAGCTTAATTGTTGTCGTTGTTTGAGATAATTGGAAGGAGATTTGGTTGGCGTTTTTTTAAACAATTCGTTTTGAATTCAAGAGGTAATTCTGTTGGCATTATTTTGTTGGTTATGTTTCTGCTAAATATGTTTGAGATTGATTTTTTCGAGTCTTGTTTCATATGCATAGTTGCTGCCAGAATTTTGATTTAGGGATTTAGTGTTTGTTTTGAACTCGTTTTCTCATGTTGCAACATGAATCTTTGGTCCTTGTATCACTTGTGATCAGAAAGTAACATTTATCGTTGTTTTTACTTGATTTACCTTGAATAACACTTGTTTTCTTGGTTTTTGATTGAAAGAATATTCATTTGTTCATGCAATTTGATTTAAGTTTCATTTGGTTTCAATTCCTCTTGTGTTACTAACTTGTCTATTATTTGTGAAGGCTTTCAAGATAACTCATATGTTCACTTCATCTTGACACCACTTTGTTGCTTTTAGTTAATTAACTAAAAGTCGATTTAGTTAATTAATTTCGTTATTAAAAATTAATTAGTTTCAGCTAATTAATTTTTTTAAACTTAATTAATTAACTTAATCAACTTTTAAGTTAATTAATTAAGTATCTATTTCATATTTCATTTGTTTCATTTAGCTCTGATACATGTTCCTAATCCACTGGGACTTGATTCTTTATTTCACATGAGATGTTCAGATTATTTTTATGTTATCCTGGTTTGTTTGTTTGTTTGTTTGTTGGGGACTTCATCTGATACAGGGATTCTTATTTGACACTTTGAGCTTACCTGGTGCACTTTCCTGGCTTGTGATTTATTTTCACCTGAAGCGCTTTATATGTTGCTTTGAGTATTATCTGACGCCTTGGGTTTCTTTGATGTTGTCTGCTTGTGATGTATTTTCACCTGAGGTTTGGTATACTCTTGGCTTATTTATCTGCTTGTGACTTTCAATCCAAAAGATGTGAATTCTCTGTTGACTTTCTATGTTAAGCATTGCATTCTTATTTGGTTAGACCTTCATTACCTTTGCTTTACTTTCTTGTAAATAGGATAGCCTCTTCATCTCTTACCCCATTCTTCAATTTTCAAAACCATCTCATCTTTTTTCAAAACCTTCCTATTTTCAATAAACTTTAACCGCTTTCATAATAAACCTTGACTTTGTCAAGCGACTTCTTTTCTTAATAAATGTTAAACCACATAATAATATTCTAACATTTTCAAAAAGACTAAAAAACATTTAACCTCATTCAAACCTTTTTATGCCCTCGCACACCTTTTCTCCTTTAAAACCTTTTTCCAAGATTAGACATGATTCATTTGTAGTCGAGATATCATCCTCATATCCCCATGGTTATAGAGGTGTCGACTTTTCCACTTGAGTGCCAGAGGCATTTCCAAACTCTCCTCATGTTGACGCACGACCCATCTTTCTTACATCTTGTGGGAGGTTAGTTGAGATTTCTCTCTTAAAAATGACGACTTGTCTCTTCATTTAAAAGCAATCAATAAACCAATTTTGTTCTTTTTTAGGAGAACTACGAGTGCCCTGGTCCCTTATTGCATAAATGGGGTAAGTAGGCACAAAGGTTCGCAACCGCAGAGAACACAATAATAAAAAAACATTTTCTTTTATTTGTAAATACTCTTCCATTCGTTTCCTTTAGCAAGTAAGCCTTTAGATAACACACTCTCTGATTAAAACAAATAAAGTGGGTCCTGCAGAGTACTGTAGATGCTTAGGGTGCTAATATCTTCCCTTTGCATAACTGACCCTCGTACCTTGGTCTCGATTTTATTTTATTTTGGGTTTTATTCGCTCTTTTCTCATTTTTCCTTTGGAAACAATAAACTGTGGTGGCGACTTTCACTGATATGAGTTAAGTCAATTAATGGCTTAGTCTCAAATTTTTACCGCTACATTTTCGCTACAGTGCGACATTAAGCATGTTGATAGTAAAAATCAACTTACTGATATTTTCACTAAAACTCTTGCAACCGAACTGTTTTTCAACATACGTGAGGAATTGGGGACCATTGATATCTCCAATGTTTCTTAATTTTGCTTTATTGCTTGCATTTTATACTCTTGCTTTAACTCTTTGTTTGAGTATTTTACATTATGTGAGTGCAACTTTCGTTCCATCACAAGTGAGGTAATATTGTTTCATATTTCTCCATGAAAATAAGACTGTTCTTAATGCATGTTATTTGTTAGTTAAAAATACTTGATATTTTCTCAAATGATGAAAATCATGAATGTTCATTTCCAAAAAATTTGATTCACAATCATTGTGTGTTTTCAATATATATGTTTATAATGACTTCATGTATTAATTCTTTCTCATTTATATAAGTTTGTTCTTGTTGTGCAAGCATGTATTTTTTTAAATTTATTTCTTCCATTCGTGCGTGAGTTAAATGTATGTGTGTTATTTGCATGTATGTTTCTTGTTGTAGTTGGTCACATGTTATGACAAATATTTTCATTTTGGATTAAGTAGTGAAATTTTCTTGTCGCTATGCTAGGCATATGCGTGTGTAGCATCGAAAGTTCTATTATAGTGTGTTACGTAATTGTGACACTATAGAAGCAACTTGAAAAGTTTGAACTTGCATCACATTCATTATTCATCATGCATCATGCATTGCATTACATATGTTGTAATGTTGTTTGGTTGTTATTTATCAATTTCGCACCATTACATATATATGGGGATATGTGATTGTTGCTCTTCTATGCAAAAATGCCTCTGAGTGATATATTAGTATTTGTATTGGAGTCTGATACCTCTCACGGTTTGCTATCTTTCATTTTGATATTGTCAAAGGGGGAGAAGCATATACGACATGAAGTTGGGAAGCACAAAGTCAGGGGGGTCCTTCGATAACTACATGAAGTGCATCGTTGCAAGTTTTGTCATCATCAAAAAGGGGGAGTATGTGAGTACAACTTCACCATTAAATGTTTTGCATGATGTCAAAAATAGGAAAACTTAGCATTTCTATATATTGGATGGTATATCTATGTCTTGTGGCACTCCTTTGCATTAGAGGTCTTAGGAATCATTAAAAACCATTTTGAAATTGACCAAAGTCTTGAAAAACAAGTTTCTGCATAATTTTTTCTTGCATGTGTTGGCACATGTGTTTCTTGACTGGCACATGCAACTCAATTTTGAAGCTTTTAGTCTTTGGATGTCATACGCCGACACATGCATCCATACAAGCCGGCACATACAATAACTTTCAGGTTTTCTATTTTATGTGTCGGCACATACAGTTTTCAAGTCGACACATGTACTTTATTATTAAAGCAAAACATTACTGCCTTGCATAGGCCAACACATCTGCCTTTTTTGGCCTGCACATACAGTTAATTCTTGACTTATGTGTCAGCACATACGAATTTCAGGTCAGCACATACTGTTTGATTGAGTCAATTTTTCAATTCTTTTTAATTTCAAAAATTACCTCTTTGCATCTAAACTTCCATAATTATAAATACATCATCCATACATCATTCCAACTTTATGAAACTATAAACACATATTGCATTTTCTATTCATCTTCAACTTCCAACCTATGCATACACACTGGTAAATAACATATAACCATCTTTTATCGGGGTGCGATCTAGGCGAGGTTTGTAACATCCAATTAGGTTCTTTTGTAGCCGAGAATATTGGATTGAGATTTGTAGGGGGTCTTATCCGAAAAAACCATGGGTTTATCCTCCAATATCTTTGGTAAATTTGGGGGGTTTTGTGCAAGACATTCAAGAGAGGATTGTGGCCTAGTGAAAATCCTTTGGAGTTTGGTACCCAAGGAAGTAGAGAGAGAACAGTGAATTGAGTTGAAATGTCTTGTGTGCAATAGGTATAAGTGATCGTGCGTGAAAGAGCTTTGGAGTTTGGTACATAAAGGAGTAGCGAGATTTGATAAATTAATTGGTAGTTATTGTTTCTTGGTGTTGCTCAAGATCAAAAGAAGAGAAATGGTTGAATCAACAATAAATGGTTAGGGTTTATAGGGTTGCTCTTGGAACACTTCTCTTGTAACGACTTTTTGCATAGTAAGAAATTTTCCTAATTCCAAAATTGGAATTGGGGGGAGACGTAGCCATCGCGAGGACCATTGGCGAACTTCCTAAACAAATCCTCGTGTCTCTTTTTCTTATCAACTTACTTGCTTTATTTTTCATTATGCAATTTCTCAAATAACATTGATTAAACGATCAACTAGTAAGAATTTTTCCGTGGATGTTTTTATTTTGAATTGGGTGTTGATTTTTCTTATAATCACTTTTGATTATAAGTGCTTTTTTATATCAACACAACTCAGAGGGAAATTATGAAAATCCGGTCGCACACCAAGTGATCGACAAATTTCTTTGTTCATTATTTTTGCTAGTTAGTATTGGAAATAATATTGCTAGTAACATGCAATAAACGAATAATACTTTGTTACTTGATTGAAGTTTATATATTCATTATTGTGTTGTTCATTCCATAAATCAATTTATTTTGCATATATGAGTTCCAATATCTAGGTTCGTATAGACGATGTTTTCGATCTATATCAAAACCTTCCACGTGCACTCTTTTCAATTACTTTTAAAAACAAAATTTGTATTTAGAATTTTGACTTGGTGATCTATTCAACCCCTCTAGATAAGACGCCACCGTCTAATAATTGAGTGGAATGGAGTAAAACATAATAGAATGGAATGAAATAGAATAGATGAAATATAGATTCCGCTCTATTGTTTGTCTATTTTATTAAAATTGTCACATTCCATTGCATACACCCCAAATTGGATGAAACAAAAACTGAAGATTGGATGGAAGGGGATGAAATGTATTTCATCATGAATTCCATCATATTCCATCAATAAAAAAGATACCCTTAGGAAAAAAGAATTCGCATCCAAGCCACCTAAATAAAAATCAATTTCAAAGAGCAACATTGAAAGGAATTGATGATGTAAAAGCTCTCTCAATCTTGCACTTCAATGTTTTATCCTTTCTGATCAGTAATATGTAATATAAGAAAGAGAGTGACTTTTCTAATCGATTAGGAAAGTTAAACTCATTGTCTAATTGATTAGATCTTTCTTTTAATCAATTAAGGAGTTATTTTTCCTCCTAAATGATTAGGATATAAATTAATCAATTAATAAGCGAACCTCATTTAGTGTTTCTTTTTATGACTTAATCTAAAACATTAGCTTATTGTTTCTAATTGATTACATAGTGGTCATGCCCATATATTATTGTATTTTTAGCTAAATTGTTGCCTATATGAATAAGTTTTGGGCTCATTTCTAAAAGCACGAATATTTATAACTATATACTCTTTTATCTCATTCACTCTCCTTTTAAAATCAATTTTACTCACTTCACAACGTTTTAGTGCTAAGAGAATGAAAAACTTATCTTGAGAGTTATATATTTTTGTTGTGCTTTATTTGTTTATTCAAGAGCTTATTTCTTTTCTGCATCAATAATTAAATTGGAAGTTTCAAGGCAGACCTATAAAAATCTTAATGTAAGGAAGGTTGTTAGACTGAACATGTGTAAAAGTTCAAGTTGTTGATAGTGGAAATCTCAAGAGGAAACTCTTGGGAACTGGAGTAAGTAGCGCCTTTGAGTGATCAAATTAATTATAAAAGGTCAAGAATAAGTCTTGAGTACTAAGGCAACCAGACACACACACTCACATAATTTTTTTCAAACCCTCTCTAATTTTATAAAACTTCTAAAAAACAATCAAGACTTATATTGAATTGGTTAAAAAAATGTTTCTAATCAATTAAAGAAGTTTACATAGTGCCTAATCAATTAAGGATTTTGTCAAATATATTAAATAAGTGTAAATGATTTAATCGAATATAAAGTATATTAATAGATTAATATATATAGTTGTTTTAGGGTTTCATTTTTGGATTAGGGTAGTCCTATTTTGAAAGCTTTTAATTGGTCATTTATTTTTGCAAGTTTTACTCTCTCTCTCTCTCTCTCTCTCTCTCTCTCTCTCTCTCTCTCTCTCTCTCTCTCTCTCTCTCTCTCTCTCTCTCTCTCTCTCTCTCTCTCTCTCTCTCTCTCTCTCTCTCTCTCTCTCTCTCTCTCTCTCTCACATCTAAAACCCTTTGTACTTCCCTCTTTTTTCTATTTAAACCCCCCCGCTCTCTCTTTTCTATTCACATCCGCTTTTAAGTCTTTAAACCTTCTATAAAAAAAACTCTTATCTTTATTTCTTTTACTTATCTTCAAATGGTTTTTTCTTCTTCAATCAAAACCTTCAAAAGCGATGATAGCAAATTGTTCACCATCAATGAACATGTTGTTGACTTTAAAGAGTTAAAATAACTACGCATTAGTTTCCAGAAAATAATTACCAGTAAAAAATGGAGAAAATATTTTGACAGACTCTATGGACTAGTAATCTGGTTAAATATTTTTGGATAAATGCTTTTGTTCACAACTTGGACAAGGATGATCATGAGATAAGATTTTTTGTCATGAGCACTCCTATTATCATCACTCTCCCACTTATTTCTCAAGTTATTAGATGTGGAGAATATGGTGCTAATATTGAGAAATACAAAATCAACCAACCTTTTACCTCCCTCATTCTCAGTCGACTCATTGAAATTCATGGGAATCCTTCAAGTGCATCTAGTCTCAAACCTTTGGCCAAGCAATGACACCAGCTAGTTGTCATAAAATTTCTGCCAAGGGAACAAGACTATGACTTATTGTCTCTGGAAGACAAACACTTTTTGTACTTATGTTTATCAAAGGTGAAGGTTAATCTTCCTCTTACGATTTTTAACTATATGAAGTCTAAAATCATGACCTCTTGCTAGGGCAAAATTTTCTTCATTCCTTTTAGAAAAGTTATCTGTGAAATATTTTTTTTCAAAAAGGGATAGTTAAAAAGGTTCAGAAGGCGGGTCTAACTGAAGCTCTTTAAACTTCATGGCACGAAGTTTGTAGGTCCTTAGAACATGGAGAGGCAAAGGAAGATGAAGTTTGCTTCAAAAGCAAGACCCTCCGAAAACTAGTTTTTCCTTCTTATTTCCATTGTCTCCTCCCTAGGATTTTTTTTAAAACCTATTGCACTACTTTATCTTAATCAACGACTTTTTGTTGGTCCTTCTTTTATGAAAAAAAATACTTTTGGTCTCTTAAGTTTACCACATAGTCCATTTTAGTAATACGTCTCCGTTAGTCAAAGTCCAAATTGTATAGTCCATATGGCATATATGTGTCGTTGAGTTGGCATATTGGAATCTGATGTGTACATGTTTGTCACCAAATTTCTTTAAAAGAAGAAGAAAATTCATTTAGTCCAGATTTGGACCCAGGGTTGCCTTGCCTACAGGAGAAACATCTTACCACTAAACCACTTTTCCATTGATGTATAATGTTTAAAGCCCGCAACATAATTCTAGCATCCGAGCAAGCAACGACAACAAAACAGACAAATATCCTGAAAGATACACAATAAAACCTTTGTTTCATTTTGGGTTAAATAAGCTGGTAAATAATATACAGAATCAAGAACCAAATGTTAGGCATCTCCTGTAACCTAGAACCAACTCATTTAACAAGAAAAGCAGTGACTGCAAGATATCTCCAGTCATCCTCATGTTTATCTCAGACCAAATTCACCATTCTAGGTTCAACATCAATTTTTATATTTGAACCATTTCCAGCATCATCTACCTTCCCCATATTATTTTCTGCGTATTTGTGCGTAGTTGAATCATTGGTTGGCATGTTAGTGGAAAGCCACTGGAACATCATTGAAGAAGACAAATTTGACAAAAGTTGATCATCAATTTCTTTTGATTTTTGTTTATTTTTGCCACTGTAAAACGTGTTGGAAACTCACCAAAGTCTGTGATAAATTTCTACCACAATGACAATTTAATTATGAAACAAACAAAGAATGAAGACAGGCCAAATAATTTCTGCAGAGTTTCTCTCTGC